TTTTTTCTTTTGGGTTTTTCTTTTTTTTGTTATCAATTTGGAAGGGCTCATTGTCGATGATCTATATGAGCCCTCTCTCCTCTAGACCATGTATTTCCCAGCTCCATCCTTTGTCCACTGATCTTGCTCACTGTATCGTCTGTCATAGAATACAGTCACATGGGTCTATTACTTCCTTAAGAGCGTCTGGGTTTCCAGTCTTAATCGTGTCCTCCTACATTTCCTTACAAGAGTTATCTATTTTTAGCTTTTGTGTTTAAGTACTGAATTCACCTGGAATTTGTTTTTTACATAGAGGCAAGGGGTCCACTTTTATCTTCCTCCACATAGCTGGCTACCCCAGCACTATGCATTCAACAATAGAGTCTTCCTTCACAAGATCCATCTCCTGCACAACATGGTGATTATGGTTCATACAATGTATTACATTCCTGAAAAATGCTGACAGAGTAGATATAAAGTGTTCTCACCACAGAAATCCTAATTATGTGAGATCATGCTATGCTGGTTAGCCAGATTTAGTCATTCCACAACATATATATAATTCAAAACATCATGTCCTACACAACTACATACAATTTCATCTGTCAATTAAACAAAAAAGGGGGGCCGGGCGCAGTGGCTCATGCCTGTAATCCCAACACTTTGGGAGGCCGAGGCGGGCGGATCATGAGGTCAAGAGATTAAGACCACCCTGGCCAACATAGTGAAACCCCATTATCTACTAAAAATAAAAAAAATTAGCTGGGCATGGTGGCATGTGCCTGTAATCCCAGCTACTCAGGAGGCTGAGTCAGCAGAATCGCTTGAACCCAGGAGCTGGAGGCTACAGTGAGCCAAGATGGTGCCACTGCACTCCAGCCTGGGTGACAGAGAAAGACTCCGTTTAAAAAATATATATTAAAAGAATTTATTACTGGTTTTAGTGAGTAACTTTTAATGATAAATGTTTAATAACTAACTTTAGGAAATAACCTAAACAACTAGTTTTTCTTGATCCTGAGACTTCCTAAGCCAAAGTATCATTCCCACATGTTCCACAGTGTTCTTTAAAGCCTCACCTACATGGCTGCATATGTGACTCATATCCTTCTCAGGCCCTCCCTGGCCCAGCTGGGATGGGACCCAGTGGCAAACCTGCCCTGTGCCTTCCCGTTTGGCCCAACCCTGGTCGATGTTGTCATGTTTATGCACAGGATGGTCCTGGAGCCATGGAGATGAGCAGGCATCGTTCCCTGAGAGCACTCTGGCCTCAATGCTACCTGGCCTTATCTTGCTGGGCTGAGCCTCTCGCCTTTTTAGGGACAATAAAACTTGGCTGACCTTTTTTATGAGACAAAGTTTTGCTCTTGTTCCCCAGGCTAGAGTGCAATGGCATGATCTCGGCTTACCATAACCTCTGCCTTCCAGGTTCAAGCGATTCTCCTGCCTCAGCCTCCTGAGTAGCTGGGATTATTGGCATGCACCACCATGCCCCGCTAATTTTTTGTATTTTTACTAGAGACAGGGTTTCTCCATGTTGGTCAGGCTAGTCTCAAACTCCTGACCTCAGGTGATCCGCCCACCTTGGCCTCCCAAAGTGCTAAGATTACAGGCGTGAGCCATCGTGCCCAGCCAAAAGTTAAATTTATCTAAGAGAAAATGCTTATCACTTTAATCTCATAACTCTCAAACTTGCCTGCACATGAGAATCACTTGGAAATCTTTTTAAAATTCCAAAAGCCAGGCCACCCAGACCAATTACACTACTCTGGGGGTGGGACATAGGATCCAGGGTTTTTTTGAAGCTTCCCTGGAGGTTCCAACGGGCAGGCAAGTTGGGGACCCCTGCAAGCTGGGGACCCCTGCTCTGATCAGCATTCACTGAGCTGATAAGCAGTGTAAAACAGGAGCAGACATTCCTGCTTGGCCATCATTTCCTTAAATCCGAAGCTACAAAACACACCTGGCGTGAGGAGCAAAGATCCATCAGGAGTGAAACTCAGTCTTCGGAAGAACGACTTCATGCTGTCATCGTGAAACATCCGGTAGCTTCTTGCCTGCCACACATAAAATTTATTTTTATTATTATTTTTTATTATTTGGTTTGTTTGTTTCTTCTATACACACAAAGTTTAAACATTTTTCCAAATCTTCACACTCACAATAAAGGCTTCCCAAATGCTGTATGTTCCTATGGTTTTCTTTATAGTGTCATTTACTGTTGACATAATCATAAATCAAACTGAAATATATTTCAAATCAAGTAACTGTGCAACACTGCAAGGGTAATCATTCATGAAAACTGACTACAAATTTTTGTTAGGTAAAGCTGTATGTATATATGGGTGTTTTATGTGCTTCTAAAATTATTTTTTAAAACTCTTAAGAACACAAACCACAGGGTCAACAGTGGGTCAACTGGGGCTTGAGACTGGGAGACAGAGGGAAGATGACCAGGAGACCTTTGCTTTCTATGGCGTGGATTCATTTAGAATTTCCAACTGAATGCACTCTATTTATTTATTTTTATTTATTTATTTATTTATTTTTTGAGACGGAGTCTTGGTCTGTCGCCAGGCTGGGGTGCAAGGGCGCAATCTCGGCTCACTGCAACCTCCACCTCCCAGATTCAAGCAATTCTCCTGCCTCCGCCACCCAAGTAGCTGGGACTACAGGCACGTGCCACCAGGCCCAGCTAATTTTCGTATTTGCAGTGGAGATGGGGTTTCACCATGTTGGCCAGGGTGGTCTCCATCTCTCGACCTCATGATCCACTCGCCTTGGCCTCCCAAAGTGCTGGGATTATAGGCATGAGCCACCACGCCCAACCCATTTATTTAGAGACAGCGTCTTGTTCTGTCACCCAGGCTAGAGTGCAGTGGCGCAATCATAGGTCACTGCAATCTAGAACTTCTGGGCTCAACGCAATCCTCCCACCTCAGCCTCCTGAGTAGCAGGGACTATAGGAACATGCCACGACCTCAGCTATTAATAAACGTATCCTTTTAAAAAAGAAAATAGTGGATTATTAAACTGGTTACCATTAATCTTTCCAAACAACATTTCGTGAACAGCTCTCTAGCACAGGTCTTACTATTATTTATTGACATTTTATAAACATCAAGCATGTGCTGGGCATGATGGCTCATACCTGTAATCCCAACACTTTGGGAAGCTGAGGCAGGCAGATCACTTGAGGCCAGGAGTTCGAGACCAGCTTGGCCAACATAGCAAAACCCCGTCTCTACTAAAAATACAATTATCCAAGCATAGTGGCACACTCCTCTAATCCCAGCTACTCAGGAGGCTGAGGCAGGAGAAACACTTAAACCTGGGAGGCAAAGGTTGCAGTGAGCCAAGATCACACCACTGTACTCCAGCTTGGGAGACAGAGTCAGACACTGTCTCAACAAACAAGCAAGCATTTAATTCTTAAGAACACAAGGAAGTAGGCATTACTATTCTTTTATTTATTTGTTTATTTATTTTTAGATGGAATTTCACTCTTGTTGCCCAGGCTGGAGGGCAATGGCGCAATCTCAGCTCACTGCAACTTCCACCTCCCAGGTTCAAGCAATTCCCCTGCTTCAGCCTCCGGAGTAGCTGGGACTATAGGCATGCGCCATATGCACAGCTAATTTCTGTATTTTTAGTAGAGACAGGGTTTCACCATGTTAGCCAGGCTAGTCTTGGAACTCCTGACCTCAGGTGATCTGCCCACCTTCACCTCCTAAATTGCTGGGATTACAGGTGTGAGCCACTGCATCCAGCTGACATTACTATTCTTACTTTGCAGGTGTGACCTCTCAGTGCCTGTCAGTGGCCAGCCCACACTGCCTTACCCTGCTTCCTTAGAGGGATTTGCACCCAGTTCCCATGTGGAGCCAGTAACTGGCTTACTCCCCTGTACCTCAATGCCTGCCTCAGTAGCCTTGAGTCCTTTAGGACTAGAGTCCTATTTTCATTTGCCAATTCTTTCAAAGTCAAAATCCTTCCTATGCCTAAATATCAGCTTTTTGGCTGCCTCTCTGCCGTCTGCTACCAAAGCTCTCTATCTACCTGCCAAGGCAGTAAACTGAATGCTGCCAGACAGATCCAATGTTGGACCACCTGTCTTCCATTGCCTCGTGTAGGGATCTTCCCAGATCAGTAGTGACCAGCCCTCACTACATCTGAGAATCATGGCGGCCCTGCCTACCTCCAACCAAGAGAATCACACCACTCAGGCTGGGGCCAAGGCATCCATATTTTTATTTTTATTTTAATTAATTAAGTTATTTATATGAGATTGAGTTTCGCTCTTGTTACCCAGGCTGAAGTGCAATGGCTCGATCTCAGCTCACGGTAACCTCTGCCTCCCAGGTTCAAGCAATTCTCCTGCCTCAGCCTCCTCACTAGCTGGGATTACAGGCATGCATCACCATGCCCAGCTAATTTTGTATTTTTAGTAGAGACGGGGTTTCACCATGTTGGCCAGGCTGGTCCCAAACTCCTGACCTCAGGTGATCTGCCCACCTCAGCCTCCCAAAGCGCTAGGATTACAAGTGTGAGCCACCACGCCTAGCCTTATTTTATTTTTGAAATAGAGTCTTGCTCTATCATCCAGGCTGGAGTGTAGTGGCATAATCTCAGCTCACTGCAACCTCCACCTCCCACGTTCAAGTGATTCTCATGCCTCAGCCTTCCGAGTAGCTGGGATTACAGCTATGTACCACCATGCCCAGATAATTTTTGTATTTCATTGAGATGGGATTTGGCCATGTTGGCCAGGCTGGTCTCAAACTCTTGACCTCAAGTGATCCGCCCAACTCAGTCTCCCAAACTGTTGGGATTCCAGGCGTGAGCCACTACGCCTGGCCAGCACCCATATTTGTAATGCTTCCCAGGTGATTCTACAGTGCAGCCAGGGTTGAAAACCACTGTCCTGTCCTCCATCAGTGGCTCTCCCTTGGTCTCCAGATGTCCCCATTTCTATACAGATTAGCCCGCCACACTAACTGAGCCTTCACTGTCCAAGAGGAAGCCTTATTATAGTTCAGGAATGGGGTGCTTGAGGCCAGTGATTTGGCCACAAGGGTATAGGAGGAGCTCATGACTTTCTAATAAAGTGCTGCTGAAAAAGAATGGCAAAATATTGTGTACCTCTCCTTCAGCCCCTATTCCAGACAGCATCTTCGAAACATTAAAAGCCACACGCTTCTTCTGTGTACTGTACACTCGCAGCACCCTGAAGAAAGAACACATTGATTTACCACTTCTAGTACACGAATTATGCTTCACACAGAAACAACTTATTACCAACAGCCAATTATTACCACTGCAATTTTCAGCCTGCAAAAGCTTTTACCAGTGATATTCACAACTGGATAATTATGAAGGAAGTGAATATTAGCAACCTAAAGAATATTACAGGCTGGGCGTGGTGGCTCATGCCTGTAATCCCAGCACATTGGCCACGGAAGGCCGATCATTTGAGGTCAGGAGTTCGAGAACAGCCTGACCAACATGGTGAAACCCTGTCCCTACTAAAAACACAAAAATTAACGGGGTGTGGTGGTGCACACCTGTAATCCCAGTTACTAGGGAAAGTGAAGCAGGAGAATCGCTTAAAACCAGGAGGAAGATGTTGCAGTGAGCTGAGATTGCGCCACCGCACTCCAGCCTGGGTGACAGACTGAGACTCTGTCTCCAGAAAACAAACAAAAAAGATTTACTAAGTACAAACTTCGTGTAAGGCACTTGCCCTAATTAATTTCCAGTTTCTGATCATATTATAAGAATGAGTATAAAAGCAAGAACAAAAGAATGAAAGCTAGACTATGGTAAATTTTGGTTAAGTTGTGATAAAAATCTCTCTGCAGAAAATTCCAAGTAAATACAAAGACAGCTTGCCAAAGCCGAATGTACCTGTCACAGCTCAGAGTAGCAACATATTGACCCAAAGGGTCCCAGGTTACTCCTTGGACGTAACTTTTATGTTCATTAAAAATCGATATCTTTTGTCCTACAAAAAAAAACACACACACAAAATAGCATTATCAAAACTTATTTGAGCCCAAATAGTATAAACTGTGACATAAATATTATTCCCTTTTACCATGTATCACTCAGCGGGCATAAGTGAGAGACTCCGTATTAAACCCTGTGTCAGGCTCTGAGGTTGCAAAGATGATTTCATGCAGTCCCCACCGTCAGGGAGCTCACAGATCAGACAGACCCATCAACAGGCAAGTATCACACATGTGGACCAGGAGAAGAGGGGGAGCTGATAGCATAGGGCACCGGGTCTCAGGAGATCTAAGTTCAGTTCTCCAAGTCAGGCAGGATGAGGAGGAGATGAAGGGTGGAAGAAGGTATTCTAAGGAAATCCACGGGGTTAAGACAGCTTAGTGAGGCCGGGCGAGGTGGCTCCTGCCTGTAATCCCAGCACTTTGGGAGGCTGGCAGGAGGGCGGATCACCTGAGGTCAGTAGTTCAAGACCAGCCTGGCCAATGTGGTGAAACCCCATCTCTACTAAAAATACAAAAATTAGCTGGGCATGGTGGTGCATGCCTGTAATCCCAGCTACTTGGGAGGCTAAGGCAGGAGAATTGCTTGAACCTGGGAGGCAGAGGTTGCAGTAAGCCAAGATGGCACCATTGCACTCCAGCCCAGGCGACAAGAGCAAAACTCCATCCCGAAAAAAAAGACAGCTTAGTGAAGTGAATACGGAGCAGTGAGAGGTGACTAAAACTGCTAATGGGTACAGTGGAAGGCCAAGAACAGAAGATAAAGAGGAAAGGAGAAACATTACAGACCGTGTGTGTAAGGAAAGGGCTGTGGGGATTCGCGCTGAGAAGTCATCTGCATTTTAAAGTTCAAACAGGTTTAGAAGATGACAAAAAGTGTCACTAGTTAGGAGGTGACTGAGTAGACCAGGAAAAAGATGAGGAGGGCCCAGAGCAGACAATGTGAACAGGGATAGAAAACGGACTTGGAAAATATTGAGCACACAGAGATGGCCTGCATAAAAGGACAAGGGAGTTATGAAGCCTTGGCCATTCCTTTTTTCTTTTTCTTTTTTTTTGAGACAGGGTCTCGTTCTGGAGGGTAGTGGCACCATCAGAGCTCAATGCAACCTCAACTTCCCAGGCTCAAGAGATTCAGCAGCCCGAGTAGCTGAGACTATTGGCCCGTACTACCACATCCAGTTAATTTTTGTATTTTTTTGGTAGATAGGGTTTTGCCATGTTGACCATGCTGGTCTTGAGCTCCTGGGCTCAAGCAATCCTCCCAAAGTGCTGGGATTACAGGCGTGAGCCACTGTGTCTGGCAGGTCATTTTTTTTTTTTTTTTTTTTTTTTTTTTTTTTTTTTTTTTTTTTTTTTTTTTTTTTTTTTTTGAGGTTTTTGGTGAGGTTCTGTAGCAACACATCACACTCAAGATAAAACCTAAAATCCTGGCCAGGCGCAGTAGCTCACGCCTGTAATCCCAACATTTTGGGAGGCCAACGCAGGTGGATCACTTGAGGTCAGGAGTTCGGGACCAGCCTGGCCAAAAACCATGTCTCCACTAAAAACACAAAAATTAGCTGGGTGTGGTGGCGGGTGCCTGTAATCCCAGCTACTCTGGGGGTTGAGGCAGGAGAAGTGTTGAACCCAGAAGGCAGAGGTTGCAGTGAGCCAAGATCACACCACTGCACTCCAGCCTGGGCGACTGAGTGACACTCTGTCTCAAACAAACAAACAAACACACACACGCACACAAACAAGACAGGATGGAGGACGGCTTGGCTGGACAGCATGGAACTAAAAAAAGCAAAGATTTTTATAAACCGGATGAGAACTGGGCTGACACCATGCTGGGGGACAGCCAACACCAACTCCCCTCCCCAGGGACTTGAGTTGTAGAATTGGCAGGAGGAGTCTTAGCAGAAAACAAAGTTTGAGTAAAGGGTGGTGGGGGATAAAAATGGTCAGGAATCAGCCCCTGCTTGCTTTTGGCATTTCACAGCTATTTTTACACCACTATAACTTTTTACATGTCTACTGTCTCCCCAGCTAGAGAACAGAATGTCCCTGGCTTTCCTTGATCTTCTGAAATGGAAACCTGATCCCATCTACCCCATCAAGCAGCATGCCATGCCCTATAAATCATAAGTGACTTGTTAATCTTCCCAAGATCCTAACCTCCATAAAGGCAGGGCCTGGGCCTGTCATCTTACCTGCAGGCCCCACCATGTGGGATTTGCCTGGCCTCAGCATCAGTAACTCGCCTGCAGGTAAGATGACAGGCTGCTAAGCCTCTTACACTCTGATGATCCATGGCTTATGGGACTGACCCCTATCCTGCTGAGCCAACCATCTACTTCAATTAACTAAAACAATTTGTTGTGTTGCTTTTAAGGTTAAAGCAAGTAGGCCGGGCATGGTGGCTCATGCCTGTAATCCAAGCACTTTAGGAGGCCAAGGCAGGTGGATCACTTGAGGTCAAAAGTTTGAGACCAGCCTGGCCAATGGTGAAACCCTGTATCTACTAATGATACAAAAATTAGCCAGGCCTGGTGGCCCACACCTTTAATCCCAACTACTGGGGATGCTGAGGCAAGAGAATCTCCTGAACCTGGAGGCAGAGGTTGTAGTAAGCCAAGATCATGCCACTCCACTCCAACGTGGAATAGAGCAAAACTCCGTCTCCAAAAAAATAAAAATAAAAAAAGTTACAGCAAATCAGAGCCAGGGGCAATGGCTCATACCTGTAATCTCAGCACTTTGGGAGGCCAAGGCGGGCAGATCACCTTGGGTCAGGAGTTTGAGACCAGCCTGGCTAACACGATGAAATCGTCTCTACTAAAAATACAAGGATTAGCCGGATGTGGTGGCATACACCTACAGTCCCAGCTACTCAAGAGACTGAGGCAGGAGGATCGCTTGAACCCAGGAGGCAGAGGGTGCCATGAGCCACGATCACCCCACCGTGTTCCAGCCTGGGCGACAAAGCAAGACTCTGTCTCAAGAAAAAAAAAACAGTTAAAGCAAGTTAGGTTTTTAGGCTTTTACAGACACTTAGAATATTTCTTCCTGCTGATAATAACAAAACATACCATTTACCTTTATTGACATCCCATATGATGGCTGTGTTATCCACAGAGGCAGAAGCCATTAAATTCCCATCAGTTGCCCAGCAAATATCATACACATCTTCTAAGTGGCCCCTAGAATCCAAAAACAAAGAGGAAAAAAGCAATTACTGCCTGGGTGTGGTGGCTCACGCATGTAATCCCAGCACTCTGGGAGGCCAAGGCAGGCAGACTGCCTGTGGTCAGGAATTCAAGGCTAGCCTAGCTAACATGGCAAAACCCCATCTCTACTCAAAATATAAAAATTAGCCAGGCGTGCTGGTGCATGCCTGTAGTCCCAGCTACTCAGGGGCTGAGGCAGCAGAATCCCCAAAACCCAGGAGGCAGAGGTTGCAGTGAGCCAAGATCACGCCACTGTACTACAGCCTGCGTGACAGAGCAAGACTCCATCTCAAAAAATAAAAAAATAAAAAATAACAAAAAAAAGCAATTATTAACTCAAAAAGGGACAAGTTTTCAAAAATATAAAGGCAAACTCTGGAACTACGCATTAAAATGAGATTCCAAAACTTCTACTGGCACCATATTAGCTATAGTTATTAAAAAACTACTTTCACCGGGCACAGTGGCTCATGCCTGTAATCCCAGGAATTTGGGAGGCCAAGGAGGGAAGATCACCTGAGGTTGGGAAACTAAGAAAATCCACTTTAATTATGCTTTCATCCTTTAAAACTGTCATCTTAGGACTGGTTCACATAAATAAAACTTCTAAATTAGACCAGCCTGGGCAACATAGTGAGACTCTGTCTCTACAAAAAATTTAAAAATTAGTAGGCCGTGGTGGCGTGTACCTGTAGTCCCTGCTCTCTGGGAGGTGAGAGGATCACTTGAGCCCAGGAAGTCAAGGCTGCAGGGTACTGCGATCACACAACTGCACTCCAGCCTGGGCGACAATGAGGCCCTATCTCAAAAGAAAAGAAAAAGGTCGGGCGTGGTGACTTATGCCTGTAATCCCAGCACTTTGGAAGGTGGAGGTAGGCGGATCACGAGGTCAGAAGTTCAAGAACAGTCTGGCCAACATAGCGAAACCCCGTCTCTACTAAAAATATAAAAAATTAGATGGATGTGGTAGCACGTGCCTGTAATCCCAGCTACTTGGGAGGCTAAGGCAGGAGAATCATGTGAACCCAGGAGGTAGAGCTTGCAATGAGCTGAGTTCACGCCTTTGCACTCCAGCTGGGTGACAGAGCAAGACTCCGTCTCAAAAAAAAAAAAGATTAAAAAAAGTCAAAAGGTGTATTCCATGTAATGCATTCATCATGAACAGAGATCACTGCCATGGTCCTTCCCAGGTTACCGCAGAGTCTTCACAACTGTCCAGTTCTCCTTGTTGAGCTGGGCCTCGTCCTCATCCTGAAAAGCGGTCTGCTCTGGCTCCTTGTTATCATTCACCTTCCACAGCAGGATGACAGCATCTGCGGGTGATGCAATCACGTGACCCACGCTTCACCCACACCCCTTCACGTCAGGATTTTTAGGGTATTCAACCACATTTATGTTGTTCAGTGGACGCTTTGGCCACGATGATTTACTTCCAAGCATTTCAACAGGGAAAGCAGGCTTGCCTTCTGAGTTAAAACCTCAAACTCACATTCATACTAGGTCAGTGCTATACAAAATCACCTTAAACAGAAGGGTCCCTAGCCAGCAAAATGACACTGTAAAGTGGCTGGCTACATTAACAATTCTAAAGGCATAACCTATAAATAGCTGAGTAGAAAAACAAAACAGCAGCCAGGCGTGGTGGCTCACACCTGTAATACCAGCACTTTGGAGGCCAAGGCAGACGGATCACGAGGTCAAGAGTTTGAGACCAGCGTGGCCAACATGGTGAAATCCTGTCTCTACTAAGAATGCAAAAATTAGCCAGGTGTGGTGGTACATGCCTGTAATCCCAGCTACTCAGGAGGCTGAGGCAGGAGAATCGCTTGAACCCAGGAGGCGGAGATTGCAGTGAGTTGAGATCACACCACTGCACTCCAGCCGGGGCAACAGAGCAAGACGTTATCTCAAAAAAAAAAAAAAAAAAAAAAAAAAAGAAGAAAGAAAGAAAAAGAAAGGAAGGAAGGAAGGGAAGGAAGGAGGGAGGGAGGGAGGGAGGAAGGAAGGGAGAAAGAAAGGAAAGAAAGAAAGAGAGAGAGAAAGAAAGAGGAAGGAAGGAAAGAGGGAAGAAAGGAAAGAAAGAAAGAGAGAGAGAAAGAAAGAAAGAAAGAAAGAAGGAAGGAAGGAAGGAAGGAAGGAAGGAAGGAAGGACAAAACAGCAAAAAAAAAAAAAAACAAAAACAAAAAACCCAGTGCAAAGGTTGGCAAATGTTCCCAGCTGAAAACCTTCAGCAAGTCCCTTAAGGTCTTGATGTCTCAGTTTCCTCACCTGTAAATGGGGATAACAAGTAGGGTGTGGTGGCTCATGCCTGTAATACCAGCACTTTGGGAGGCTGAGGCAGAAGGATCACTTGAGCCCAGGAGCTCAAGACAAGCCTGGGCAAGAGAGCAAGACTTTGTCTCTACTAAAAATCAAAAAAATTAGCCAGGTGTGGTGGCACACACCTGTGGTCCTAGCTACTTGGGAGGCTGAGGTGGAAGGATCACTTGAGCCCAGGAGGTGGAGGCTGCATTGAGTTCTGATCTCACCACTGTACTCTAGCCTGAGTGACAGAGCAAGACCCTGTCCCAAAAATGGAGATAACAGTATACCTACCTCACAGGCTGTAGTGAGGATTAAACTGGCCAATGGACATAACACACAAAAAAACAGCCGGCAGACAGTAAGCCCCAGTAAGTGTCAACTATTAATATCATTATAGACACATCAGGTCCTTTAGCCTGAGGTCACTCAATGTCTGAGTCCGCTAACTCCCCACATTCTGACTCCTCGATTACCACATAACCTTCTGGCCATCCAATGGCTTCCCTTTTAGGAATGTGCACAGCAGAAGAGTGAATGAATAGGGTTGTAAGGACATACGCATTCCCATCTAAGTTAACCGGAATCCTGGTTGCACATATTGGTCTAGGAGCTTGGTTAAGATGCCATTGGCCGTAATGGATGAACACTCTCCGCATGCTGACAAAAGCAGGTTTCTGGGCCTCTAAGGCCAAGGAACTTTGGAAAATGAGGGCTGACATGTGCAACTGCAGGGGAAACAGCATGTAGCCACCCCTAAATGACGCTCCTGCTCCCCACCTTTCCCACTACAAATGAGAGCACACACGCACACACACGCACACCTTCACACACTCCAGGTATCATGGCACTGAACTCAACCAGGTCTCTTTTCCTCCTTCTGCAAAAAAAACCTTTAGATTTCTGTTTTATTTTGTACTAGTTTCTACATTGTTTTAAAGTATGGTAAGAAGGTTTACTTTTTTTTTTGAGACAGAGTCTCACTCTGTTGCCCAGGCTGGAGTGCAATGGTCCAATCTTGGCTCACTGCAACCTCTGCCTCCCAGGTTCAAGTGATTCTCTGCCTCAGCCTCCTGCATAGCTAGGATTACAGGTGCCTGCCACCATGCCCAGCTAGTTTTTGTATTTTAGTAGAGATGAGGTCTCTCTACATTGGCCAGGCTGGTCTCAAACTCCTGACCCCAAATGATCCACCTGCCTCGGCCTCCCAAAGTGCTGGGATTACAACAGGTGTGAGCCACTGCACTCAGCCTGGTTTACTTTTTCCGTATAATTTTATCCCATTTAAGCACAGGCAGAAAATACGAATCAATCTATTTCCACCAACCAAGCACAAATCACAAGACCATTCATTAACGACACTCCCAGTGTGCTTCCTCCCCAGCACCCTCCAACATCCTGGCACTGCCAACATCAAGACTTCAAGACGGTATCAGTCACAGCAGGGAACAAAATCACCGCAGGGAAAAGGAGGAAACACATGGATGTCCAACTAGAGGAGCTGCCAAGCTGGGTATCAATGCAGGATCTCACCTGGACGGGTGCTGCTGGAGCGATTCAGAGGCTACCACAGGTATTACAACAAGTATGTCACTGTGAAGAAAGGGAGCATCGCAGGGGTTTCCAGGGTGCCGGCAGCTCACGTGCTTTTCAGCTACTGCTTTTCTTACCGGGAGATCAAACACAGGCGGCTACTCAGGGCCCACTGAAGAGGGGCCAGTGGGAGGGCACACTGCGCTTCTGAGCATAGCACCCCTCCGTGAGGAACTTGGCCACTGCTGAATTCTTTCATAACCCACTTTAAAATTAATGCCCAAATAGCGCAGGCACAGTGGCTCACACCTGTAATCCTAACGCTTTCGGAGGCTGAGGCAGGCAGACTGCCTGAGCTCAGGACTTCGAAACCAGCCTGGCCAACATAGCAAAACCCCATGTCTACTAAAAATACAAAAATTAGCCGGGCATGGTGGCAGGCACCTGTAATCCCAGCTACTCGGGAGGCTGAGGCAGGAGAGTTGCTTGAACCCAGGAGGCGGAGGTTGCAGTGAGTGAGCCGAGATTGCGCCATTCCACTCCAGCCTGGGTGACAGAGTGAGAGAGACTCTGTCTCACAAA